CATCCGACTGATGATCATTTACCAAATAAGGTAAGATCATCGATGACCAAATTTGGTATATTCCCAGACTGTAATGAGTATTAAAGATGTCGTCATTACAACCTCAAATGCCTTACACTCGTTCATCCATATGGGGGTTTAATTCCATACTTCATCCTAATAAAGCAGCGTACTTGTGACATGAGGTACACTAAACAACCTATACTCCGTAAGAAAATACTTACCTCTGCGAACTCTAACCAAACATCAATTTCTCGTCGAACGTCATTTCTTCCTCGATAGTAAGCTAGACTAAAAAAAATAAAATAAAAACAATAATGAATATTAAAGATGTCATCGTTACAACCTCAAATGCTTTACACTCGTTCATCTATATGGGGTTTAATTCTATACTTCATCCTAATAGAGCAGCGTACTTGTGACATGAGGTATGCTAAACAACCCATACTCTGTAAGAAGATACTCACCTCTGCGAACTCTAACCGAACATCGATTTTCTCGTCGACCATCATTTCTTCCTCGATGGTAAGCTAGATTAAAAAAAAATAAAATAAAAAACAATAATGAGTATTAAAGATGTTGTTATTACAACCTCAAATACCTTACACTCGTTCATCCATATGGGGGTTTAATTCTATACTTCATCCTAATAAAGCAGCGTACTTGTGACATGAGGTACGCTAAACAACCTATACTCCGTAAGAAAATACTCACCTCTGCAAAGTGCTAAACAAACTTGTGCTTATTAGCTATAAGCAACATGATCAATTACGATTACTTTTTCCGCTTCAAGTTCTACATTGACTACTTTAATATTGGACACTGCACCATTAGATGTATTATCAACGTTATCACCACGTCGTCAGCTTCGTCACCTTGTTTTGGGAATCACATCACAATCTTACGATTCAATTGAATTGTTGCGAGATCTTCAAAATTTAGAATATTTGGTGTTTTGTCACGTGTCAAACCGATTTGTCTCAATTTATCACCATCTTTTACGTACAATTAGGACCGTCACTTCCGATATTCTTGCAACATTTACATACCGAATACATAGCCATCCCGGATGACGTCATGAAATTTTTTCGAGGCTGTATTGCACCAATAACGATACTTGGATTAAATCAACCATGTGAAATTAATAAATTTCATCTCATAGTTATATGTGAATTTATCCGAAGAAAAAAATTCCCATTAAAAAAAAGTTTGAATTTAAACGCACTTACGTACGTCGTGCGTATATAAACTGTTTTTGTAACAAACAACTTATTTTTTCTAGTAAAAAAATTACCATAGAAGAAAGAAATGACACGTGCCTTCCGCTAATCAACAAAATCAACAAAAATAACCGCTTTAATATAGAGTATGCAGAGGTGAGCATTTTCTTACTAAGTATGGGTTGTTTAGCGTACCTCATGTCACAAGTACGCTGCTCTATTAGGATGAAGTATGGAATTAAACCCCCATATAGATGAACGAGTGTAAGGCATTTGAGGTTGTAATGATGACATCTTTAATACTCATTATTGTTTTTTATTTTATTTTTTTTAGTCTAGCTTACCATCGAGGAA